CCTCCTCCCCACTTCCCTTTCTCCAGCTTCCGGTCTGTCCCACGAGCGGTCGCCCTTGTGGCGGGGCACGACTCCCTCCCACCCTGGGCCGCCTCCCACGGAGGCGTCGGCGCCCTGCGGCCTGGCGTCCCTCACCGGAGACCTCCCCTGCCCCGAGACTGCCAAGGGCCGCCGACGAGGGCGTCCTCCCGCCGACTGCGGCGTCGCCTGCTGCCCCGAACGGGCGGGCCAAGATGGCCGTCGCCTTGTGCGGCGGAGCGGGGACCGCCGCGGGGGCGTCTGGGAGTTGTAGTCCGGGCCGGCGCGCTGACGCACTTCGCCGCGGGCCGACGGGCGCCATTGCAAGCGTGCACCGGGTGAGTGTGGCGCGAAAGACGCGTCCGTCGGGGGCTGCTTGGGCATGGGTGTAGTTGCTTCGTGGGGCGGGCGCAGCCTCAGTCACTTCTCTACTGAGGTCGTGAGCCCGGAACCGGCCTTACCCGCCGCCCTCCCTCGGCGGTTGGGATGTGGCCGGTGACCCGGAACCCCGAGGGGAGATGGTTCTCTCCGGCGGAAGCGGGCCGAGGTAGCCGACTGCTTGCGGGAGTGTGGGGTCCAGGGAAGGGAAACGGCCCCCTCCTGGCGCGTGTGACGAAAGAGGCGTCTTTTCCGCGTTTATGGGGAATCTGATCCTCTTAGTCGTGTGGGAGTCGGGGGAGATGACTCATTCTGGGCGTTTTCTGAGGTGGGGCGGCCCTGTCGTTTCCCGCGGATGGAGCCTTTCCTGGGCCAGAGGCGGTAGTCCCTCCGCGTGGCTCTTACCTCTCTCTCCCAACTTCGGTCTTCTCAGGACTCTGCTCACTGCTACGAAAGACTTATTGAGAAGGAAAGTATGGCCTCCAGGCTTCCGATGCCCTGGTCCTGTGTGAGTAGAGGCTTCTTTCGGCTTTCTAGTCCGCTTCTGAACCTGGAGGGGTGCACATGGTGGTGGGGTGGGTCTCTGAGATGCCTCCGCAGCCTGGAGCACCTCAGGAAGGGCGTGGAGGTAGTCATTGGGCGTGAGAGGTTGCCTGATGGAAGAATTGCAGGTTGCTTGGCTTTCCAAGGGTGTGGTTAGAATAGAGGCCAGGTAATGGGCAATTCTGAAGACCAGATTGAGGCTCTTCAGTGTATTCTTTATACTGGGAGGGGTAAGGGATCCGGCTTTGTTTAAGATTTCATCAGGTACTTTGGCTTCAAGCGAAAGGTGACATGCACGAATTCAGTAAGGAGAAGAAAAGTGGTCTTATGTATTCTTTTAACTGTGAGTTGAATAGGGTCAAACTTGTGTTTGCTGAGGGTTTCAGGCAAAGACAGAAACTCAAGATGAGATACCCAGAATGCTCTTGGGTTATCTTGTAGGTCATTCTGTTCATTCATGGACCCAGTTGGCCTCCCCTGTCTTTCTTTTGCCATGAATAATGATGGGTCCTAGCTGAACAATAATCTGTGGATTTTAGGAACCTGTGGCCTTTGATGATGTAACACTGGGTTTTACCCCTGAGGAGTGGGGATTGCTGGACCTCAAACAGAAGTCCCTGTACAGGGAAGTGACTCTGGAGAACTACAGGAACCTGATCTCAGTGGGTAAGGCTGGCCTCCATGTCAATGAAGATCTGTACTTTGCAGCATGAGTGTGGTACCTCTGAAGTGTACGTCTGCTTGGGCTCAGACTGCAGGAGCACCTGTAGGGAAGGGCAGCTTCTTGGTATGATTTCTAAGACATAACTTAATTCATCCCTCAGAGCCCCTGAATACCGAGGAGGTGGGTCTATAAAATATGTTTTCAGTAAGCAGTAGTGGATACTTCACTCTTTTTATAACAAGAATTCCAGTGTGATGTTGTGTCCCACAACTCAAGAGTATTATCAAAGACCCCCATTCCTTCCATCTTTATGGTTATTAACCTTTCCATCTACTGGCTAGTCATTGCTCAGTTTTATTTGCAAGCATCATGTCTGTATTTGTGGCAGAAACAAAGGGAGAGGCCCACCCTGACCAACTCTTTCACAGATGTCACATTTAGCAAGAAAGCAAAAGCTTTCTCAAGACCCCTCAGCTGACTGATCTCCCTTTGTGTCTGACTAATCTCCCTTTGTGTCTGACTGACTCAAACTGGGCCCCCTGGCTGCCTCTACTAGCAAAAGAGTCCAAGAAAGCCAGCAACAGTGATGGATGGGGTGTGGTCACTGCCCTAGGCCAGAAGTCATGTCATGCTCTCGCAGGGGAGGAGGTGGAGACACCTTGTGCCGCTGCAGGATAGCATTTTTCTTCTGAACACAGACCTCCATGCCCTGTCTCTTTTCCTTTGAGCAGAACATCAGCTTTCCAAGCCAGATGTTGTATCTCAGTTAGAGGCAGCTGAAGAGTTCTGGCCTGTGAAGAGAGTTCCCCAAGACATCGTTCCAGGTGAGAACAGACAAATGGGAGGTCCCCACAGGGAATGAGCCAACTAGTTATTCTGATCCCAGTATCTTATTAAAGAGGTGGAGAGTGGGAGACCCCTTGGTGGGGTGCTATGATGAGCAGCCACAGATATGTAGAACAAAACTCCTCGGTTTTTCTCTGACCCCAGAATCAAAAGTGTCCTGTTTGGTTGAAAGGAAACTTGTTGCTGGTGGCAGGTGATATATGTGTTGAGAGTAGGGGCTTCCTTTCCCTGTTCACTCATTGTCTACTGCCCTCCCCTCATGTAAACATGGGTAGTCCTGGTGTGTCTCCGGCCAGACTTTCTTACATGGGCTTATATGCATGTATGTAAGTATATGTAAACATTTTGGGAGTGTAGTCAGTACAGACAGGTCTGTATTTTTCCTTTTAACAACTTCAGGTGGTTTACATTTCATTTTTCCTCTCTTGGTAGACATTCAAATTATTGCAGTGAGCTTCTTTGCATACGTTTACTAGCACATACTGGCTGTGTTTTTTTTCCTGAGTTGGAGTTCTAAAAATGACTAACCAGTATGTAGGGTAAAAATCTGGTAGCAACAAACTGCCCGATAAATTTTAGCTGCTCAAGTGTATGAGAGCTCTTTTCTCCTTCAGTACCAGCAATTTGCATTTATCTTTTTTTAAAGTTTGCAGTTCTGATGGATAAAAGATAATATGTTCAATTGAGCTCGCATTTTCCTTACAGCTGACAAAGTTGCATGTGTTTTATACATTTATGGCCCGTTTGTGTGTGTGTGTGAGAGTGAGAGAGACAGACAGAGAGTTCATAAAAAATATGTGAATTTTTTCCCCTGTTTGTTTGTGGGAGCTCTATTCTGAATGTTCATATTGAAATGTCATATACCAGACCAAAATTTATTGATTGCGCTTATATAGTCTCTGTACAGAAGTTTTATAATTTGAAGGTTTTTTTTCTTTTCAAATACCTTTATTCCTATTCTAGGTTTTGTATCATACATAGGGAGATTGTGCAAATACTTTCATGAATTCTAGTATTTTGTGTTTCTTGTTTAGTTCAACTTATCTGGAATTTCCTCTCATATATGGTGTGAGGTATGAGTTCTTTCAACACCATTTTCTGACTAGATTTCTTCCTCTGCTCTTTGGAAACCCCATCTTTGTCACAGAATAAATCACTGTCTTTGTGTGCAGGTCTCTTTCTGGGCTCTCCCTTGCTTTTTCTTTCTCTGATTAAACACTATGTTGCTGTAGTTATTGTGGCTTTATAACAAGCTTGGATAAATGGTAGTTTCTCCTTGTTATTTAAAAAAAATTATTAGCTGTCTTTATCACTCTAATTCTATAGATGAACCCTTATCAGTTTTTCAGTGTTTTTTGAGAAAATCTTATTAGAATGGTATTACATTTAATTAGACTTTTATTACTGCTATTATCTGATCAGGTTAATCCTCCCTTATGGTCGTGCATAGTCGTTTCTGTTATATTGTCAGCATTTATATCAGATGTGTTAGAGTCTCACAAATGTCTTCAGTACAAAGTCATTTTACTAATAAGTATAAAGGAGGAGGAAGTTGTAATATATATTTTTTTTACATTGGGGGGCAATCGTAGTTGCATTCATCATAGGTAGTACTTCTAAAATATTTGAAGCTGAGAGTGTAGAGTAGGTGTCTAGTCTCCGACTTACATGGTAAATTTTCTGGTTTTGATGAGCCTGATGCTGGATTCTGCTTTGATTCAAATCAATTTTATCTGGATGAAGAAATAGTCATTTAGCAATGTCTAATGAATGAAAATCAGTAATATCCCATTTCCCTTCCAGAGCCTACTAAGGTGGTCATAGGGATTTTTCTCCTTTGATCAGTTATCATGGGGATATAATAAACATAGAAGGACCCTTGTTGTAATGTGCTGCTATAATTCATTGACTTTTTAAAGGATTTTTGTATTGATATTCATAAATTATGTCAGGAAGGTGGTTTTGTTTGTGTATTAGCTTTTCTGTCAGTATACTGAATGCCTTCCCTTTTTATCCTTTGCTCTGATGCAAGTGGTATTGGAACTACCTGCATTTGGCAATATTGAGCTGTGAAATATGCCCACGTTTTGGTGATGCATACAGGCTGCAGTCTCCATTAACCCCTCGCCAGGCTTTTTCTGGACCCTGTTTATGGTCTGTGGTTTTTCATGTTTCATCTTGATGGCTCAGCATTAATGTTTTCTTTTTCTTTTCTATATTCAAAGTCCTTTCTTCCATTCCCTCTACTGAAAATCTTTCTGTTAGCACAGGTCACTAACCTGTACCTCACCTGCAAGCCCCCCAACAAGGCAGGCACTTTGTATCTACCTGCAGTGATTTATGTGCCTCCTTGTTGCCCCAAGTAATCCAGCATCCTAATGTTTCTTCTAGTCATTATCACCCTGGATTACTCTGCCTTTGAGAGTTCTATATCTCATCCTTCCTGTACCTGAAGTCTCATGTCCTGCATAGGCAAACCTCCAGGCCATGCACTTCTGGATGATCTAGTAGTTCTCAGAGTCTAGCTGCTGTGTGAGACATTGGTGGGTGCCTATGGTTATACACATCTGGGGAAGACTGGTTCCACAGGTGACAGATTCAGGAGTGGTGTCCCAGGTTGAGAGGCCATGTCAGGATAGGCTCATCAGAAAGTTTCTTAAAGGTTAGACCCGAGGTGTTGGGTGCCCAACTTATCTCTGCTCTGTCATAGAGTTCTTTATTAGATGTTTTATTTCTTCTCCTTCCCCTTCTCTCACCTCACAAATATTTACAGAGAGCCTCTTCTGTCCTATGCAGTATACCAAACACTTGGGTGATAAACAAAGCCCTGATATAATACCTTCGTAGACTTCATAGTTTAAAAGATGATGGCCTTTTAGAAACAGCTTAAACAAATAGGATAAATTGTGGTAAGTACTGACAAGAAAAGAGCACAGTGTAAAATGGGGAGCAGTGGGGAATTACTCTAGAGGAGTAAGTTGAGGGCATGGCAGGGGTGAGATTTAAGCCAATTCCTTGAAGGAAAATAAGTCTGCAGATGTGTAAAAGTGGCAGTGAAGAGAGCTTCCAGGCTCAGAGGCATTTGGGGTAACTGTGAGATGGGAAAGACCTAGGCACTTTGAGGAACAGAAAGTTGTCCAGCAGGCTAGGAGTAGGTAACAAGCATAAAGATACGCAGGTTAAGTTTGGCAGAGCTCATGGTGATTCATTTGCTTGAGGGGAGTTTGATTTTCATTCTTGAGAAGAAGTGTGACCTTGCTTTTCTTTTTTTTTGTTATTTTTTTTTGAGTTGGAGTCTCACTCTGTCGCCCAGACTAGAGTGCAGTGGCTGCTCCCAGCCACCGAAGCCTCAACCTGCTGGACTCTGGCGATCCTTCCGCCTCAGCCTTCCAAGTAACTGGAACTACAGGCGTGCGCTACCACACCCGGCTGATTTTTTGATTTATTGTAGAGGTCTCGCTGCCCAGGCGGGTCTCGAACCCACAGCCTCAGGCAATCCACTCACCTCAGCCTCCCAAAAGCACAGGATTACAGGCTGAGCCACCAATCCCGGCTTGGCCTTGTTTTTCAAAGCTCATTCTGGGTGGCTTGTGAAGAAGTAACTGGTATATCACAGATTGGAGGCAGGCAAGGGGCAGGTGTGGTGATTCGTAAGTGGACTCAGTGGGACTGGGTGAGTAATTGACTAAGAAAGATGAAATAAAGGAAGCTAATGGATGACAATAATTGTGAGTACTTGTAACACGTGTATTTACAACATATAGTCATCCCTCAGTATCTGTGGGGCATTGGTTGCAGGACCCCCTCCAGACAGCAAAATCTACGGATGTTCAAGTCCCTGATACAAAATGATGTATTATTTGCATATAACCTATATACATCCTCCTATATATTTTAAATCATCTCTAGATTACTTATACTTCTTAATAAATGTTATGTAAGTAGTAGTTACACTGTAGTGCTTAGGGAAGAATGACAAGGAAAGAAAGTCTACACGTGTTCAGTATATATGCTACTATTCATTTTTATCCCCAAATATTTAAAACCCACAAATGTGGAACCCATGGATACAGAGAGCCAACTGTACATTACTTTGTGTGTGTGTCATTATCTTGTTTTTAAAATATGACAGGAGAATTACTTCTGAGTTTTGGGGATTAGCCAAGGACATGGGGGAGTCTAGGAAAGGCATAGACTTTTCTGAGAAGTTTGTTTCATTTTGTTTATGTTGAAATAATTTTAAACAAAAGCTACACTAACAGTACAAATAATTCTTTACTAGCTTTCACCTTGATTCAAGTTTTTGAACTGTCCTGTGTCTTGATTGGTTCTATTAATGAAAATGAGTGGGGACCATAGAGACATGCAAAGAGGTTAGAAAAGATCGACAGTTGAACGCGCCTATTTGGACCTCAGAAGGGCTGCACTTAAAAATGGAGTTGCTGTTGTTTGGAATGCCATGCTTTTCTGTGAGATGAGGAAATCATCCCCTGTAATGATCTGTTTCTCCCAATTCAGGCATGGCTGTGCCTCTCATTTATGCATGGAAGTTGGACAGCTTTCCATGGTAACAAGGACGGCAGCATAGGTTCTGGTTGTTGAAGTAGAAGGGCCCATGGTAAATGCTGGCACAAATGATATTCACCCTCAAGAAAGCACTGAATTGGGAATGATGTTGTGAAGATAGAAATGTAAGGAAATAAATTAGGTGGCATTTAGAGTTTCAGCTGTGACTTGGTGTCCTCTCAAAAAAGTATTGCGCATAAAGAAGGACAAAATTATGAATTTCACCGCAACTTGGATTAAAAAAAATGTATTGCCATATATGTGGTTCTTGAATAGAATACTTGAGATGTAAACCAGATTTATTCCTTGGAGAAGCAGTGCAGGGAAGAGACTGTTATGAAAGTTATGATTATAGGTAACCCTGCAGGACATTTTACAGTTTTTACTTGTCGGATTAAGCAGGAAATAAGTC